CTGGCGCACAAGCTAACGCAACGCCTGATAACACAGCTCGACCAGACTGACAAGTCTTCACTCATCGAGCGCAAGATCCGCGTCAACTGGCTCGCCGCCGAAGACTCGGTGTCCCTTAATGGTGGCAGCGCTTCTGCTGTCGCATCCACACCCAATCGCCAGTCCGTGGTCAACGGCGTATGTTCTCTGACAGCTCGTCAACTCTGAAACGAAATGCTAACAAACCGCAGGACTATACCCCCGATGTCTCCAACGTCTACTCGTCTCCCCAGCCGGATGCCGACTCCGGCAGCCCTGCGCCTGCAGCTCGACCATCGACCTCCGATGTGAAGGAGGATACTGTTTCCGAGAAGGCACAGTCTACAGTCAGCGCTGCGAGTCACGTTGTCGCCAATACCGCCCAGGTCACCTACGAAGAGTTGAAGCAAAAGCTTTCCCAGGCCGAGGCCAAGATTGCAAGCCTGCAGGACACCAGCGGCCTCCGGCAACGCGTCAAGACCGAGACTGAGAAGCTCCCTACTGCCCAAGAGGCTGCCGCGGCGGTGAGGCAGGGAGCTGAAGGTGTCTCGGTACAAATTGTTGCCATTCTGTGCTTGTTCAGTTTCCTCCTTGCTTACTTCTTCTTCTAAACCATTTTTGGTTTTCCCTGACAATTCCCCCTTACACGACCTTTCTACTGGAGGACTTATGAAGCGCTAAGTAGCACCGGGTTGAGGCAGCATAGTCGTTGACGCCCCTGTAGTTACTTGCCAAAACACAATGGCACGATGAGCGGAAGTTTGGCGATGCGGTGAGGTGGATGGAGAGGAGGACCATCGACAGACATGGAACGGAGTCAAATCACATGTAACCATAAGGATTCTTTTTGTCGTAACGGCGTGGCGTCCCGGACGCGAAGTAGTTGATTTCAGAGACTGATCTCATGACGATGTTCATCTTTTTAGTGTTCTGTGACTTTGTCGACTCGATGTTATGAATAGAGCCGCTTTCAACAACCTGAGCAGTATATCTCACAGCACACAACTGACTAACACAGGAGGCTGTACAGTACGAGACTTCTCGTAGCTTTGCCATGATGTTTGGTCGAGCATCACCCACATCGGTCAATCTCCTCGAGGAAAGACAGTCTTTATGATATTTGGAAATTGGGTCCGTGGCAGAGAGATGGGGGGTAGGTAGTAGTGCATTGAGCATTTTCATGCGTTGGTCACCGTTACTTTGGTCAGGGGATACATATCTGATGTTGGCCTTTTTTCTTTTCGTTCTTTTCGTTTATATCAGGCGGACAACGACCTTGTGGACTATTGGGGGAATTGGAATGGGAAGGAGTATATATCCTCGGAGCCACATTCTCCCGTCCAGATAGTATTGACCTCTTGAGCTATTTTTGCCTCGCGTTTATGCATTTTTGAGTCGTCTCACGTCGTCCAATCCGAGGGACTATGCTCATGTGCCCGGTTGGAGGGCGATCTTTGAATAGGAGCCACCTAAGCGAGATAAAACATGGCTCATGTGGTTGAAATGCGATCTTTCCTGGAACCCTTTCGGTCATGACTTGTAGTAAAGCAAGTTCGGCACTTTGTTTTTCGTTGAAAGAGACACAGATAGAATGGCGTTTTCTCGTTTGTATTTCAACTTGATGCTTCATTAAACTTTCTTCATATCTAAAGGGGGGGCGTCTTTCATCCGCACCCGGTTCGTGAGCTAAATATATAGTGCCACTTGTTCGTCAGATAACTTTTTTCTTTATACACAGATTTTGTCTTCCAGATTGAAAACAACATTCATTCAGTCTCTCTCTTTCTACTCCGTTTTCCCCCTCCTCATGCCTCAATCTCCTCACGCGTCCAGTGGGCCACGGCACCGCCGCCAACCTTGCGACCGCCCTGCTTCCTCTTGACGCGGGAGGTGATGCCGACGTTGGGATCGAGGATGAAGCGCCAAATCACATAGGTCCAGCTCTCGTGGCGGGGCAGCTCGTCGTAGAACTCGCTGGCGATGGCGCGGAGCTTGGGCAGGCGGGTCCAGGGGACGGCGGGGAAGTCGTGGTGCTCGTTGTGCAGGCCGACGTTGTAGGTCAGGAAGTTGAGGGGGCCGTAGTAGGAGAAGGTCTCGGGGACGGGGATGTTGTTGGCGGCGTCGCGCTGGGCGGGGGTGACGGTCTCGTAGACGTAGTGCTCCGCGATGAAGTGGCCGGCGAGCGGGTGGAGGGAGCCGGCGAGGAAGGAGGAGAGGAGGAAGTAGAGGATGGTGTTGAAGCCAAAGGCCGAGTAGAGGGCGTAGTCGAAGGCGAGCTGGACGGCGATGTTGAGGTAGTGGACCCAGGTGAAGGGGACGCTGTAGACGAGGGTCGGGCGGACGGCGTAGAAGAAGATTTGGAAGGTGCAGAAGAAGGCCTTGCCGAGGATGGAGTCGAAGAAGACGACTTCGAGGGCGGTGGGGAGGTCGGTGTCGAGGCCGTCGACGCCGAGGGACTTGTGGTGCGTCAGGTGGTAGGGCTGGAGGGTATGAATGTCAGTGATTGTCCTTCTTCGTTCTTCTTCTTGAACAATGGAGGCTTTCAGAGACTTACACGGAAGGAAGCGCTGTAGGGCACGCCAATGGGCAGGTTGGCAAAGATGGCGAACAGGCGGTTGGCGAGTGGGGAGCGGAAGGCGAGGTTGTGGGAGATTTCGTGGATGGCGAGGAAGAGGTTCTGGTTGGCGGTGGCGCCGAAGACGTAGCCGACGAGCCAGAACTTCCAGGAGAAGAAGGAGGTGTCGCGGAGGTACCAGGCCCAGAAGATTTGCATGGCGACGACGCCGGCGACGACGTACTTTGTCAGGGGCTCCGGCCCGCAGAGCTTGGTGACCTGGTGATGCGGTTGTTAGCCATTGAGCATTTTACAGAGGAGATATTGGCCACTGTTATAGAGCATTGCGGTTTGTGGAGTGGGAGAAAGGAGACATGTGGAAGGTTGTGTCGTGTGGTGAAAGGACATACCTCCGGGTGAGCCTTGATGATGGCCAGTCGGCGAGTTCGGTGCGGTTCCTCGGTGTAGGTCCAGAAGAAGTCCTTCTCTTTGGGGGTCTCGGTCGGCGCATCGGTCGTCAGCTTACCGGCGGCGGACTTGCGCTTGGACGGCTGCGTCACGGTCGAGGCAGCGGACGAAGCCATTGTGCTGCGGTGTCTGAGGGTGGTGGTGGTGGTGGTGCTTGTTCGTGGGTGTCGTGTTGAGGTGTGGCGCGCGCGAACAGTTGTATCGAAGAGGGAAAAAAAGGGCCAATATCGATCTGTCCTGACCGATAGAGAGATAGAGGGGAGGGGCGAAAAGAGAACGAGTGTCGAATCACCGGCTCTGGGACATTTAATTTATAAAAGAAAAATGTCAAGGTCTCGAGGAGAAAGAGGGTGTCCGTGAAGAAACGAGAGTTTTCCACCGAGCGCACTTGTCAATGAGGAAAAAGAGACGAAAACAAAAAGTCTTATGTGTTTCCCCCTTTGCGCAACAGGAAATGGAGTGTTGGTGGGAGAAAGATCATGCCTCGAAAATGGCAAATCTCCTGATGGCGGGCTGTTAGAAGTTAGGGGTATGGAGAGGTACCTGGGCCCTGGGCGCTGGGGGCGTGTTCCGAAGCGGTCAAGCGGTGTAACAAGGTCGCCTCTCCAGGTACCGCATTTCTGCTTTCTGCTCTCTGCTTTCCATCTGTTCTCTCAGGTTTCTGCAACTTGAGGTGTGGCGCAGTGGATAGCAGTGGGGGTGGATGCTGGAATGAAAATGGAAGGGCTCAAGGGGTCCCCTTGCCTTGCCCCGCTGTGGCCAATCGTTCGGAACATGTGGTTTACGGTTTCTGGCTGCATCTCCCACCTATCCGTACTCCCTCACCTGCCTGGATTACCTACTCAGTAAAGATAGGCTTTGGCAAAGCTCTCTCCAGCTGGCCGGGATGAGCAAGGGATTGCTGAAATTTTCTCTGGTTTTTTTTCTTGGGACGTTGTTGGGGGCCCTTGGGGGAGATTTGGGGAAATCCAAATCCTCCATTGAATCCCCACACACCACACTTCTTCCCCTTCCCCTTCCCCTCCACTCAAGCCTCAGGGTAAGATGGCCCCTGTCAAGCTTGTGCTTGGTTGCGCATCTCGACTTTTTCCATGCCGTGCAACCATCCAAGCTTAGTTGATCCGTAGATCAACGATGATGGCCATGCTCCATCTTGCAAGTTTTCGAGGTACCACGAAGTTGTGAGTTGCGTTTTCGTCGCCTACGAGAAGCCAATGGCGACGATATCGCAGTGCGTCACTTGACCAGCTTCTTTCTTTGTGTACCTATTCGTACACCCATTCTGTCGTGTCGAGTCTTCGACAGCTTTGATGCCGTGATAAGATGGGATCAACCATGCACTCACCTTTCGCTCTGTACCTTGCGCGGTCTTATCCCGCCAGGTACAGATATCTCACGTTACGCACCCGATGCATCCGCGCAATGCGTGTTTTCTGCGTGCTCTATGAGCAAAGAGCATGAATGAAGAACATCGCCTCCCGCCTGGTTGTCCAAAGTCAAGACTCGAGACAGAGGTCCGTGGTGTATGACAAAGGGACGGAGGCTTGATGCCGAAGCGAACCCCACGTTTTCTTCTTTTTTTTCTCCGTGCCAACTTAATCGGACAGGATTGCCGCGGGCCGTCAGAGACATAGTGCTCTTATATGGTGGCATCGTTACATGGGCGCGCCAGATTGGCTCGTTCAACGTGCCGTCCTTACTCCTTTTCATTTACCCGTCATATGCAAACTGCCGTATAGCCATAGATTTCTGCTCATCGAGCAGGTCTTCGGAGGGAGGTGGACCGCAAGAGGGGTTGTAACGGTTGAACATAAGAAGCACTTAATAGAAGGGAACTTGGCATCATGATAGCCTTTGGTACTCGAAATCTTGACGTCCCAGTGATCAGCCTCTGCGATATCGCAAATCCTTACAAAATATCGTCTACAATCCAAAGAGCAACGTTTCCAAAGCCAAAAACATGCGACTCGTCCTACTCGCCACGTCCCTGGCATCCCTCGCCGGCGTCGTTCTCGCCAAGCCAGAGAAGATCAGGGGCGTGACCGATCCCGTCTACCACCTGTACCTCCAAGCCTACCCAAAAGACAAGTCGATCCCCGTTCTGGGGCCTGAGGCGTCGGCAGAATTCTTCAATATTGCGGGAACCATCCAGAGCGCCAACTCGAGCTCGTACCTCAACATTGGCGGCGATGCTACGTCGTACAAGACTCTTTCGTTGAGCAACGCCTCCGGCACCAGCGCGTGGGGGCTCGAGGGTGATACTATCATCACTACCCAGAGTAGTAGCTGGGGACGACGTATGTAGTTCCCTCGTTCACCACGGATATTCAAACTGGACAGAGATGATACCTACTAACACCTGACAGAGCTGAATTTCTTGGTGTGTCAGCTGGATACAAGCTATTGGCAACTCTATCTGCAGACCGGAAGTGATGTGCCAACTGGCAGGAACTGCAGCAATTATCAGACCATCCATCTGCCTTGCCTCTGCTAAATAGCATTGGTCTGACATCGGCTTTTGTGGCACAGAGAAGGAAGTCTGGGTAGACGATGTCTGGCTACGTTGCATGTAGATAATAGATAGTCGTCAAAACTAGAGTCACACGAGCTGCTTTAGGCATGGATGATCACACAAGGGACTAGCGATTGAAGAAACAATGCTCCCGAGGCGCGCGTCTTTGTGTGACCAACAATGCTTGGTTTTATGGCCCGGCACAATGGAGAATGTATCTCGCCGCGATCGGCGGCGTAAGGGTCGAGAGCCAGGCAGTCAAGTCTGCTACCTAAGTCTCATCATCAGCTACTCGGAATAAGAACTGGTCTAAACTTACTAGGTCTGCCTTCAATATTATTCGACATTTTAGGCACAAAACCCTTCTTGACAATACAATAACTAGCCTTGGTATGTTGTCGTTCATAGTAAACCCTAAGAATGGGGAAATGTAATATTGAATTCAACTCAAGTTGCATCCAAGTCCAAAGAACAACTGTTCAATGGTTGGCTGGATTTCAGAGGCGAAGGGCTCGAATAGATATAGGCAGTTGATTCAAGAGAAACATCAAGGTAAAACTTGGGTAGTAACTATGATCATTTGCGCAGCAAGTCCAACCATAGTCTCGTCGACTGAGCTGGATTGAGAGTGCGTTGCCTAGTGCCTGCCCGCTGTTGTATCAGGAACCCCGCTTTGAGGCACGGCAAGATAAGATGAACCAAGGCCAAAAGGCCTGGCAAGCTTCATGTAGACATGTTGAGTTGACGCTGAAGGATGAAAATGGTCTTCAAAACGTTCGTGTGACTTGCAGTAGCTTCTGCACATCATGATGACCAGTTGAGAGAGGTTGAGGTAGAGACATTGGTACCATGGCATTGAAGGAGGGGTTCCCGTGATTGGCTGTCACATGCAGATAAGTCGAGCTCACAAGTTCAGGTTTTGGCAGATGGAGACAGAAGCAAAAGGGACCAGGGCAGGGATGGCACCAGAGGGGGCTAGAATGGCACCAGCACCTCCCCAAGTGGAGGCCGGCCGTTTAGCTGCAGGGCGCCTCTGCAACGCTGCAATAACCGCTGCAATAATACGGTTAATTCCAAGAACTTGTCAGCTTGTCAGGCCCTGGGTCCTCTCGTCGGATCCTGCTGGGATTCCAGGGCTCGGGGAAAGATGGGATGGGACGGACTGGACCTGCGTAGCTACCTTAACCTACCTTGAGGGCTGAGTACGTCTGCGCGATAGGGGCACGCGACCTGAGAGACACACCACTGATTGATTTACTTGTGATTTTTAGTGTGTTCCATGTGGTGGCCGCTGGTTCCTCTGCTCAACTCTTTGTGCATGTGAGGTGTTGCGTGCAGTCTGTGGCCTTATGTCTTGCAGATCATGATGTCTCACTTCTGCCTGCCACAGCAAGTGGAAATGCAACGCCGTCACCGTTTTCTTCTCTTTATTGCAACCAAGGTCGGAGAGAAACAGAATTAAACAGGATTAAATAGAGAATCAGAGATGAGAAGGGAAAGCTTGGGCCTTGTCACATCATCCTACGAGCTGCAGCTTCACCGCTCATAGGCTTAAAGTGCTTAAGGTACCTAAGGTACAGTACCTAAGTAGAGATGGCATCTTAGCAGGTAACGCCACGTGAAGATAAGAAGGTAGGCGAGCAGAACCGCCTTTAACGATAAGCCCAAGCTCCCACTTGCGGTCCGCTTCCTGCCACCTCGCCCAAAAATCTACCGGCAGGTTGGCACATTCTGCTTCCATCGCCCAGCTTTCTTTCCCGACCGCCGGACTTTGCACCGACTTCGCACCTCCTCTGCTTTGAGTTGTCTGCATGCCATATTTCGCAACAGCATCCGTCGATATCCTCTGAAAACCTTACTCCTGCCGAGTTCCTGCCATCGACCAGCGAGACGAGACGATCCAACTTTGCTCTGATATTGTACAAACACCATCTACGGTCCCCTCACCGTCTCGCGTGCTCCCCACCACCAAACTTAGCTCGGCCCTCTCCAAGTCTGCGACGACATTTACGAGCGCCTCTCTTTGTCGCTTCCCTCGACCGTTCGCGACCACGCCGACCTGCCGTCCAAAGTGGCCGGTCATCGCCAGAAACATACCCCTCTGTCGGCGCGGCTCCAGCAAGCCAGCTCGTCGCGCCGATGTGGTGGTTCCTCCGAATCGTCGCCAGTGCCATCTTCCTGCTGAGCATAGTCCTATCCATACCTGTCGCCTTTGATGTCGGCGGTAGGGACAGTGGACTGGCCTACAGTCTTGCCCTCTCCGCCTTCTACTTTGTCTACTCGACCATCGCCGTCGTCACCCCCGCAAAGTCGCGCGTTCGTTGGGCCATATCCGTCATCCTTCGCCTCTCCCAGTGGGTTGTCATTCCCGGACTTTTGATCTGGGCCCTCAGCCGCTTCGCCGTCGACGCTGGAGCTACCAACTGGGTGGAGCGGACACTGCAAGGCATCACCACTTCCAAGTCGACGTCATGGGGCGAATGGGTATTTGGCGAGGGTGGTGTTATTGAGACCATAACCTTGGGCGGTTGGGATAAGACGTTGAGGTACTCAAGTCCCGTCTTCCAGCTTCTCGAGGGATTCTGCACGCTCCTTGTCATTCAAGCTGCCGGACAGATCACCAAATGGCTCGTCAACAGAGGACGAAGCGACACTTGGATTGTACGTGGAACCCCTCTCCTGTGCCCCCGACTCTGTGAGACCCAACCCCGTTCACGGACAGCCTGGCCGTGTCCTAGTCTTACAGATCCGGATCGCATACTTTGACTTTGTGCGATACTTACTGATGGCTTTGACAGATTATCCTGCTCGTTATCTCTGGTAGCGTGCTTGCGAGCGCCGTTTACTTTCTCTGGCGTGTCGCCCACTTCCCTTGGATTGACAACTCGGATGCCATCTTGATCGGTGTCACCATGACTTCAGCCTTCTTCCTGGGCGCGTATGGGATTGGGAGCGGGCGCGGCAACCCTATCGAGTCGTCCCTGCTTTTCGCGTACGTCGTCCTCTGCGTCTACCAGATCTTCACCGATTACCTCCCCTCGGAGTCCACCGAGGCGGATCAACACCAGTCCTCACAGCCCGACTTCCCACCCTTGCCTCCGATTATCATGGCGTCTTACTCGACTCTACTCCACATGCTCGGCTCCCTTCCCCACGCCGTCCACTCGTCTCTCAGTCTTCTCTACGCGGCGTTCCAGACCATTACGCCTTCTGTCATCATTTCGCTCGCCTTCCGACTTCTTGTCTTTTACTGCGCTACACGCATTATTCCTGCCGTCCGTGAATCGGGAGCCAGGGCTCTCATGGAGGAACCGACTCTGGAAGAATCAGACGCTGCCAACTGGCTCCTTGGGATTATCACCTACTTCTCGCCTTCGATTCTCATTGCCATGTACACAAGCTTGCTTCTGCAACACTTCTCAACAAACGATGGGCCAGATGGATGGACGCTGAGAGGAGGCGACCCCGGCGGCAACGTCTGGCGCTGGACGAACGTAGCAGCAACAATGACCCTGTACGCAATTGAGTTGTACTTGGGTAACGAGGATCACGATGGTGGTCTGACAAATCACTGGAAGATGGATTGAGAGCGAGGTTATTAACACTTGCGGAACAATTCGACAACATCTGCTTCTCGATGACATGGGGGCTTACTCCATGTTATCAGGATTTAATGAGTGCAGTCTGCCTAGGCAGGTTAACAATAAAACTGATCGATCAACGTACATAGGTCGTAATGACACACGGGCTAAGGGCACGGAAAGGGGATAGGACAGGCACAGAAATACGGCGTTTAAGGGGTGGAAGTCTGCATGCTCGAACGGCGATTCTTTTACTTACGGACTCGGCTGAATAGCCAAAGGGAATTTTGACGATTATTGCTTGAGAGCACTGCCGGTGCCTGGGCTTTTCCAAACTACCCACATTAGGAAACTCATCTTTAAAATCGATGGTCTTGGAAATATGTTCATTGTTGGTGACCTGCGCCTGATGGTTCCTGATGCAAGTTAAGTCTCTACATGATCAGAGTTGAGGTTCGGACGGGCTGCAAGCCGCTGAGCCATAACCACCGGGCGCATCCACTTTGACGTTGCGCTCGCTCCGTTGCGACTCCGTCTTTTCTGGGGCCTCGGCAACTCCAACCTCACCTCCTCTCTCACTTACACCTCTCCATCCCACACAACCTCCACTTCTCTCGGTGGTCTCTCAACGTCGTTTTCTCTTTGGAAATACCCGGTCCCATAATATTACACTTGTCCCATTTCAAAGTTGACTCGGCACACTGCTGTAGGTAACGGCAAACGTCGTTGCATCCCCCCAACAGTAGCCATGGCAGCGACGCACAACCCGATGCGGGCGTCCACCCCGCCGCCCGCCGTCTCCAGGACGACGATCCACATGTCTGGCCTCTTGTGCGACGTCTACGGTCTCGAGGAGCTCGTCGCGCGCGAGAAGCGGCCGTCGGCGGCGTCGTGTCTGTGGCTTCATCACCCGCGGTTGCGGGCCAAGGAGGATATGGAGGATATCGCGAGCCGTGTGATTTCCCGGTGGGAGGAGAATTCTTCTTCTTCTTCTTCGTCGTCATCTTCTGTGTCTGGCGGCGGCGGCAGAGCCCTCATCGCCGTGGCGTTTGACCAGCAGAACCACGGCACCAGGACGGCGTCGGCGACGGCGAGGGACAGCTGGCGCGAGGGGAACAAGACGCACGCGCTGGACATGTGGGGGATGGTCTCGGGTATGGTGGCGGATACCAAGGGGCTTCTGGACGTCGTGGAGGGGTACGTGAAGATGGAGCTGGGGCAGAGGGATGGGAAGGCGGCGGAGGGGTGGGGGATTGATCAGCATCTCGTGCTCGGGGTGAGTTTGGGCGGGCATAGTGCGTGGCAGACTATGTTTAGGGAGGAGAGGGTTGAGGCTGGGGTTGTGATTATTGGGTGTCCTGATTATATGGGTGAGTCTTTTCTTCTTCTTCTTCGTCTTTCTCTTCCTGGGGATGGGGAGATACGATGTTCTGAGAGGTGAGTGGTGAGAAGGGAAGAAACCGGGCTGATTCGATGTGATGGAAAACAAACAGCTCTCTTGTCGGACCGGGCAAGGTTATCCAAGCTGGCAACCTTTTCCGCGCAAGACAACGGCGCCTCGTTTCTGGGTAGCAGAGACTTCCCGCCCGACCTCGTGGCCTCTTGTCTGCGCCACGACCCGAAGGGTATCCTGTTTGGCACCGGTGCCGTCCCAACCCCGGACAGTCTCACCACCGAAGACAATGCCGAAGAGCGGAAGCGTCTCCGCGGCGTCCTGGACGGCCTACGCCTGCACGGTAAGAAATTCCTCGTCTGCTCCGGCGGCGAGGATAAGCTCGTCCCATACGCCATGTCTGCGCCGTTTTTGGAGTTCTTGACGGCTGCGACGGGGACGTGGTACCGTGACGCTGGGGTTGAGGTCGAGAATAAGGTGTACGAGGGGGTCGGGCACGCGTTTAGCGAGGGGATGGTGGAGGATTCGGTCAGGTTTTTGGTTGATGCTGTTGCTGGGAAGGATGCCGGCGGCGTGGGGGCTGAGGCTGGTGAGAAGTCGAAGATTTGAGGCACTGGCGGCAGAGTAATACTTGCCATAGGGAGTGGTCAAGGAGGTTGAAGACAGGGGTTGAATACGTGTATACGTAGGTATATAACTGTGTGTGTATACATAACTTCTAAGCCCACGGCCTCTTTGCATCTTCCACGAGCGCCTCGTGCCCGTCTATGATCCTAGTGACGAGACCACTCTGTCTCCTCTCCTCCTCGCTCGCGAAAAGGAGATCTTCCAAACCCCACGGATTCCTCGCCCTCCTCTTGCCCGCTAGACTCGGGCCCACGCCGTGCGGGTCAACCGTCCACTCGTCCGCGGCGTGCTTTACGCCCGCGATGGCTCCGGCTTTGGAAACATTACCACTACCACCTTCGTTGCCCTTGTCATCCTCTTCGTTCTTCTCCTCCTCGGAGGCGGCGGCGGTTGAGCTGACCGAGCCAGCAGCACCAGCAGCCCCCTTCATCCCCGGCGGATCGATCCCAACATATCGAACCTGATCCAACGGAAACCCTATGGCAGCGCAGTGGCCGTCGAGGATGCGCGGCCTCTTGAAGGCGTGGCTTACGACTGTGAGGGTCCGAGGGTAGGTTGCGTAGAGGCGGCGGAAGAGGAGGAGGGAGTGGAGGATGTTGTGGTAGGAGTCTAGAGCGAGGGTGTCGGTGTGGATGAGGGATGTTATGGGAGGTGATGATGATGAGGAGGGGGAGGGGCAAGTAGGAGAGGAAGACGAGGGGGGAGGGAGGATGCCAAAGCAGGCGTTTGCGGCGGCGAGGTTGGCGTAGGATTCTGCTTCGGAGAGGCGTGTTTCTTTGCGTGTCGGACCTCTTTGTAATCGAACGAGTCGTTAGTCTTGATACTTGGTAGTTTTCTTCATATCTACAAGACGTTGCTGCGGCTTGCCAGAATAAACCAAAGATGCGTGGGAACGGCAAATCACGAAACGATAACGAGCGTGAGCAATGGCACTGCCAATACTCGATCAGGAACAAATCATTACTTCAAGGTAAGGTAGGCAATCGCTGGAGGTAGTACAAGGAAAGGTCGGGGTTTGGCTGCATCTACAGTTACGTACCCCGAAAATACGAGCGCGGAAGCCGGGTACCCGTCCCGCAGCGCCGTCAGCCCGGCCTTGATGTGCTCGATAAACGTCGGGGTCTCGCCGGTCTGGAAGTCGGCGATGAGCCACTCGGACTCGGCGCGGCCGTTGGTGGGGCCGCCGGTCCAGATGCCGTGGCAGCAGACGACGATGAGGTTGGTTGGTGCTGCTGTTGATGTCATGGCTCCGATCCTTTTGCTGTGCTCCCCTCTTGGTAATATATCTCCTCGATATGTGTGATGGAAGGGTGCTGGTGTGTTTTGGGGATTGGGATTTGATGTGCATTAGATTGTGGATCATGTGATGTTGTGGCGGTGAAAGTTGAGACTTCCCGTCTCCATTACATAGGTATCAAGGATTGCCAGGTATTAAATATCATTACCTTGTGCTATGAAGTCGTCGCCATTGTTGGCGTGTTATTACATGAAACTCTAAACGCATTGAAAATCCATGATGGACATTATACTCATGAGGTTGCGAATTCATAATTACTTTGGATTATGCCGTGACTGCTCACGACAAGGTTCTATATGCGTCACCAACCAGGTAAAGACTCCCCGTCAAGACAACCGGGCCATCTTTGGCGGTCTCAACAGCCCATCTCGTAGCCTCTTCGAGACCATCTTTGCTTTCAAACACCTCTTTGGCGCCCGCGTTCGAGGCCATCTCCCTCAAGGTCTGAAGCGGCAAAGGCTCGACCCAGGGCATCGTCTCCCGCCGAGAAAAGCCCACGCAGGCGACGTTGTCTCCGGGTCTGAGCAACGTGCGCAGCATACCGCCGGCATCCTTTCCGTCCTGCTTCGATACCGACACGATCCACGTCACAGGCTTATCGGCTTCTCGCAGACGTCGCTCGACGTATGTGGACAATGTCTCGGCTGACTGTGGGTTGTGAGCACCGTCGATGAGGATGGGCTTTTCCTTCCGCGACGGATGCTTCGCCTCGACGTTCAACCACGATAGCCTCCCCAGGTGACTGACGTCCTTCAGAATCGGCAGGGCCTTTTCCACAGAAAGATTAAGGTGCGGGTAGGCGAGTTGGAAAGCCGCAATGGCGCACGCCATGTTCTGCGCCTGATGCGGCATTAGCTCCGAGTCGTACAGAGCCTCGAGCAGACCGGGCTGGCTCGTGGTGAGGTGCAGCGGCGCCGAGACGCTGGCGGCATGTTGCCGGAAGACCTCGAGGACCTCGGGCGGGTTGCTGCCGTCGACGACACACGGAACGCCGGCCATCATGATGCCGGCCTTTTCCTTGGCGATCTCGGGCAAGGTGTTGCCAAGGAAGGCCTGGTGGTCGAGGCCGATCTTTGTGATGACGGTGACGCTCTTGCGGCGGAGGGCGTTTGTGGAGTCGAGGCGGCCGCCGAGACCGACCTCGACGATGCCCATCTGCACATCAGCGCGGCTGAAGACGCCAAAGGCGATGAGGGTGGTCACCTCAAAGAGGCTGAGGGCTTCCTGGGCGGCATCCTGTGATAGGCGAGCCTGGTCGTCGGCGATGATCTTGCGGTTGACGTCGGCGTAGACGTCTTGGGCCACGGGCGTGCCATTGATCTTGATGGCGTCGCGCGGCTCTATTAGGTAAGGGGAGGTGAAGAGGCCGTTTGAGATGCCAAAAGATTTGCACAGGGCTGATAGGTACGTGCAAGTGGTGCCTTTGCCGTTTGTGCCGGCGACATGAATAGCATCCCATTTCTGGGGGACACCTTCGAGGGCCCGCGAGATGCGGTGCAGGCCTAGGCTGATGCCTTTCATTGCCATGATGTCTGTCCTTTACCCCAGCGAGGTCTTGGATTTGGTGGAATGGAAGGTGACGAAGCGATGGCAGTATCCGGGTGTTGAGGCCCGGAGGATCACCAACGGCCTATCCGTATCTCGGTTTCGGCTCTGGATCCGACGGACACTTTTCGCATAGGGCTGTTCGGACTTCGTAGTCCGGCAACAGCTGGTTGTTGCTTTTCTAACCCCCCGGAAGTGAGTCACTGAAAGCCTGTGGGAATGATGGGTCTTTGATCATGAGAGTCGTGATAGGTGCCGAACGATGTCAGCGAATGAATATGACTGAGCATTCCAGATCTTCCGTTTACATCTGATCCTGAAAATTAACGGAGCGGCTGCCGTTAGGTGGAATAAGGCACGCAGCGGGAACGAAGCTCAACCTGAGCAGGTGCGCTGGGCAGGGTTCCTGCTGGAACGGCAATGCCAGGAATACGTACCTGAGCAGGAGCCAAGGCAGGTACGTATTCCGAATCGAAATGCACTGGATCCAATGGAAGTTGGCAAGTGCCGCTCCAGCCACACTTCAATCGGAGGCAGGCATGCAGATAATGGAAGGCAGGAGTGAGTGGCAGGCTCACCACGGACCAGTGACCATGAAATGGGAAGCCCCCGTGATTGGCCAAAGATGACTTGCTTGATGAAGCCGCGCCACAAGGGGGGAAAGAGAAAGACGCAGACAGCCAGAACTCCGTGACTGCGACTGCGACCGGGGAGGTATGGCGTGGCCAGCCACTCACAAAAAAGAAGTAAAGCGGCTATTCCCCAAAGACCCGCGCTTTTCCCATTTTCCTTCCTGTTCCTTTTTTTCGTTTTTTAATTGTCCCGGAGCCTTTCTGCCTTTTACCCCCCCTCCCGACTCCCGTCCTCGTCTCGCTCCATTTCCTTCTTGACCGTCAATCCACGTCCAGTCCCAGTGGCCCCGTCCCCGTCATTCACTGACCTGACCTAATACATACCCCAACCTAAGTCCAAAAGTCCCCGGGCAATCCTCGCTCCCGCCTTGCCGCCTATCCGCCCCACGAAGAAAAGCCATTTCCGCTTCGCGCAACTCGCCAATTCCATCGCGAATCCATCGCGAAACACGGTACCGCGGCCCCATCGTCCATCACTCTCATCACGACCACAATCGCATCAATCTTGCCATCTTGCGATCAAGTCGAAACTTTGCGCCACCGACCTATCGTCCCCGCTGCCTTTGAATTCATTCGTCGGGCGCGCGTCATTAGCCGGTCAAAATGGGCCTCCCGTAAGTTTCTCGCCTACCCCTGCGGCTTTCCTGGTCGCGCTGCATTGCCTTTGCCTTTGCGCCTGGCCTGTGGGACGCTGGCTCAATCTCGGCCTGCCCAGTCGCATCGCGTAATCGCAATCGCTTCCACTCCAATGCCTCCATCTATATCCATCTCGTTCATCATAAATCCTCCGCATACTCTCGTTTGCGATTCGTCGACTGCCTTCAAAGACTGCCTTAGCTACGTCGTCGTCGTCCCCGCCGCCGCCGCCGAGTTGCAATCCAGTCGCGGTGAATGCAGACTGCTTCATACCCTGGCCTCGCATCCCATCACTAACATCGCATTTTCCCAACCGCAGATTGTTCATCGCTCCCGTCGAGTCAGATGTTCCCGCTCAAATCGGCGACAAGTCTGCAGCCACTCGACATCCTCGCTCTACCATTCGCCGCAGCCGCCGAAGCGACGACACGCGCCCCTTCCGCCGTCGCGCCGCTCTCCTCCGCGACAACTACCCCACTCCCGGCCCCGAGCCTATCCCGCGCGCCCGGTATCCATGGATCGAGTCTGGCCACCCTCCGCCTCCGGAGGCATATGTTGCGCCCCCTTCGCGATCGACACCTCCGGTGCCCGAGCGCCGCAATCCGGCTGCTGAAATCATCGAACGTGTAAACGAAGCACGCAATCGTCAAGCCGATAGCAACGAACCCAGTGAAGCTCGTCTGATTTCCATGTACGGCGATGAATGGGTATTGAACCGTATGCCCAGGCTCTCCAACGGGGTTACCGTCACACCTCCGACCGGGGAAGAGGATGCCAATTGGCAGGAACCAGACCGGGCCCAGCTTGAGGGCTCAACATCATACGCCAACCCTAGAGAACGACGGAGGTTCCGTCGGGCGCAGCTCGATCGC